AATCATGCATTTATTAATACTAAAATAATTTACTTGTGGCCGATTTCACGGAAGCGGAATCACAATTTTCCCGAAATTCAATCTGTTTATTGGTAAACCCCACAAACAGTAGGTTAGTATGAACATCAAATTATTATTATTATTATTTTTTTTTTAAGAAAAAGAGAGTTCTACAATCATAATTATTGATATACCAAGTCAGTCAATCACAATTGAATTGTTTGATTTTCTACAGTGTGTTTTGGGAGGTTTGTGGGATTTAGCAATACCACTTAATCCTACCATAATCACCCTACCCTCACAATCGCACGCCATTTTGATTCTTAGCATAATTGCCATACATAACTATATATAATTCTAAGCCAGTAGTAGGCCCTTTGATTTAGTTAGTGATGAGTAAAAACCAAGTATGCAACTAAATTACTTGCTTAAATAAATGTATTCCTAATTATTCAGTTTACTAAAAGCAATACTTCTTTGAATAAACTCTAAGCAGACAATTTATTGCTAAGTTTGCGAGAAAGTAAGCCCTCCCTTTTCCCATACATGAACTTAAGATTCAAACACACAATTGATCCACATGCTTTAACTACTGTTTATTTGCATTGTTTATAACATGTAAAGTTAATTCATTTGATATTTAACAAAAGTGAAGTTTGTGGTTATCTATGAGTTGCATATTTTAGTAGTTGAAGTACTGTATACTGTATGTCATTCCTCTACTTTGTTAGTGAAATAACGTTTTTAAAACTTTTATTTCTACTATCAAAAAATGTTATTCAATGGCCATTGTTTTTCGATTATCTCTCAGAACATTATTTGCATCTGCTGTAATTGTTAAAAAACAAATGCTTTTAAAGAAATTTAAAAAAAAATCACATATTGGTCTCAGTTCAATGGAAAAAATAAAACATATTTCTAAATTTACAATTTTCACCTATAAACCTCTTAATTTCACAAAAGAGTGGGTTCTTTTCCAAACAAATATATCCTGCCTAATATTGTGTGTTTAGATCAGATCTTTTGCTTTAACTTTGGAAATTGAGATCATTTTAGATACTATTTCTGTATAAACTAATTTTTTTTTCTTCATATTACTGTAAACCTAATGGGTTTTGATAAATTTACTCTGCACTACGGAATTTCCAATAAAAAAAAGAAGATTAATTAAAAAGACCATAGATTAAAATATTAATAAGTAAGGCATAACATATTTTTAATCTATGTTAAGGCATAACTATTTTTACATAATGAAATTTCGCGAAAATGGTTTATAACATTCCCTGCAAGTTCATCTTTCAAAACTGGTGCCGAATCAATGTTTTAGAGCCTCCCATCAGAGCCATTAATAATAATAATATTAATAATTGGCCGCAAATATAGTAATAATATCTAATAATATTAATAATTTTAAAAAATACTTAGACCTACTCATAGGAGCTAAAAACTAATGTATTTTAGTTCTCAAATATGCATATTCTTTATGTTGATTTATTAATTAAATTTTTGCTACAGGGTATTTTACAACATTTATTTACGGTATTTATTTATTTTTTTTCTTAAATTTTATAATTGAGGGCCATTTTTTATTTCTTGATTCAATTCTTGCTTATACAGTATTTAAATATTTGAAGATTTAAAAAAATATATATTATTTCTATTACCGAATTTTTCATTGGGGCCATTTTTACCTAACTGTCATATAGGGCCATTTTTACCGGGGCCATTTTTCCCGGGGCCATTTTTTCCGGGGCCATTTTTTCTGGGGCCATTCTTACCTACATTCCCATATCGGCCGCTACCTATACCGCTCGCTAAATACAAAGCTTTCGAGTCATCTAGGCCCAGTCAACTCGGCCCGGCAGGTTAACTCGGCCCTCTTTTTCATTTTATATATAGGCCTACACACTATATAAAACTACTTAAAAAATAACTATTGAAAAAAATTAATAAACTGAAGTCACATTAAGAATTGTAAACATCATAAAAATATAATAAAACCATTGCTTCAATCAAACCTTTCGATAGATTGAAGTTCTTCTCCAATAAAGTATTGTATTCGTTTCTTCTTATTATTACAGTATATATAAAGCTAGTTTGGATTTTATCTATTACATCATAATTTATATATAGGCCATATATATTTAAATATGCATACATATATATAATTTATATAAGAATAGGTTGAAAATTGGTTTCCTCCAATGAAGTATTTCTAAAGTTCATACATATGATTTTCGTTTCTTAATTATATATACTCAAATATGTACACGATTCATGCCATCGATTCAATCGTTTGTTGCTCAGTAAAAAGCAACAATACTAATATTGTTTCATTATTTATTATATAGGCCA